ACTGTTTTCTTTTCTTTAATTCACTTTTTAAAAGTTGAGGTATAACTGACATAACTCTTCTACCTTTGAGGGTAAAATGTAGCCCGTGATTTTTGCTGAATAATTCCAGGCCTTTTTTCTTCTGCTTTCTTTAGTGCTTTTGATCTTCTATTTTTATTTTATGATCTGACTGTAACCTTGAGTTAGGTTTTCTTGAATAGATTTTGGAAATAGGCAGTTTAAATGAAAAATAGTTTGTACATTATAGCTTTTTTTTTTTCTGCCCATGTGGTTGGTAGTTTAATAAGGTCTAACTCAAAGGTGACATGAGCCATGAGAGGATGTGTTGGGAAATCCTAGCACTGTGAATAGATGCAAACCATGTAGAATTCCAGTAGACCGAGAGTGCCAGAACCTAAGGCGAGGCTTGCTTTCCCAAAATGATCCCTCTCAAAACAGGAGCTGCTTCGTATTTCAGTCCTTGTGCAACCTCACATATTAAAAGATGCTCTTCCAATACTCTGCTTTGATAAAAATACTACTTAGATAAGCTATTAAACTAAAATGAATTAATTTTTAAAAAATTTATTTTAAAACTCAATAGTAGCTTTAGAGCTAGCACTGTAATAGACAATAAAGACATTTAACATGGTAAGTATTACGAGAGACTAAAGCCTATACAGTTTATGCTTACATTGCACATGTATAGAATAACAGAATAAACTAGAAAGTGCTTTTCTTTCATTTTGTAAATAGTAATTGTCTCTTCAGATTAAATTTCCAATGACATCATCATATAGGGATCCCAAAACAGACACAGGAACTTAGAAAGTTGCTCTAAAATAAAGTAGATGTTTTAGATGCATGAGAAGAGTCTGAATAAAATCTTTAATGAAATGTAAGGGCAAAAAAAATCACCTGATATTTGTATTGCTATTTCACACCTGATATTTGTTTTTGATATAACTTTTAACTTTGTGACTATAATCTAATTTAAAAACTAAATATTTTAAGGATATTTGACATTTATCTATATCACTATAAATTTATATATTCAAGTAGCAAACCTCTCTCCTATCTCTTACTTCTAGATATTTCTACTGGAAAATGAGAGATCACCTTATATTTATGTTAATAGTATTTGAGATCATGCTTATTATATTCTAATATTTTTAGAAGCAGGTTATAATTAGTCTTAGAAATTCAAAGTATTTTGCATGTACTGACAATTTGTTCTAAAGTGACTTGTAGACTAGATGAGAATTAATATATTTATCCCCTTATTCCATAAAGAAGTCCAATAGATAGTTATCTGAATTCTGGGGACTCACATTTTTATCACTGATCATGTCCCAAACTTTGTGGTAGATTATTTTCATATTTAATTTCATTTAATTTTCACAATATCCACCTGAGATGGTTGTTGCATATATAGAATGAATAGATGAAATATATCAAAATAGTAACAGTGATGTGTCGATATTAAATTTTACTATTTTATTAAAATATTTTTTTCTAATTTTTAAAATTTTCAATTATAGTTGGCATACAATAAACATAGTGTAAACATAGTAATTAGACATTTATATAACTTACAAATTAATCACCCAGATAAATCTAGTAACCACCTGACACCATGCATAGTTATTATAGTATTATTAACTATATTCTGTATGCTGTACTTTACATGCCCATGAAAATCTGTAGAGAATTTTTATTAAAATTTTACTTGAGCCAAAAGTGGATACACCTGGAAGCAAGATCTCAGCAGACTGAGATAAATGCTTTCTTTGTATTTCTTATTTTTTGGATTTTCCAATTTTTCCATAATAGGTATATACTATGATTATAATTTTAAGAAGGCAACAACCAGTGAATCAAAATTTATTTGCTAAAGGATAATTACATAGAAAGTGATAGACTCAGAATCAAAGTCTATAATTTTCCCTGCCCCAAACTTTCCTAAAAAAATACTTTTCAGGACCCTCATGAATTATATCTGTGTCACCATTATTTAATCTGATTGCTATAATCACATTGAGTATGAAGTCAGTTGGAAAAAAGAGGACCAGAAAGGTGCTTTTCAGTTTATGAATTCATTTTTCTATATGATCACAACTACTAAGAAAACCAAAATGTGTCATTTCTTCTTTTTCAATATTTTATCAAGTCTTGAAAATTATTTGAAAAAATTTTGAAAACCTTCATTTGAATGCATCTCGTAGGCTACAACATCCTTGTAAAATGTTCTCCCTTCTTCAGGCAAGGTTTCATTTTTAAGGCTAATGATGAATTAACAAATTCACTGGGCTAAATTTAGAAGAAGCAAATCCAGTTTATGACATTCTTGCATTTGATCATACTGTTAACTATTTTGATATCAGTCATCCTCTGACCAAATGACAAATGTAGCAATTTTTTAAATTTTTTTCATTGGTTATTTGTGGTGTCAAATAAATAAATTATTTAAACTTCTTTAAAAATATTTCAACATAAAAATACCAAGTGGACCTAACATCTCACCCCTTAGGCATTCACAGTTGCCCTCACTAGTTAATTCCTTATTGATGTCCTCCATGGTAGGTCAGGAGAAAACTGCCTTCAAATACCTGGGTGGAATCATTGACCTCCCTGGAGATTACCATGATATGTGACCAAACTGGGACTGAATCCAACACTTCTGAGCCCACACCAGCACCTAGCCTGCAGCACCGGCATTACCTGCCTTCCCTCCCTATCTTAACTGAAGAATTTAAAGAAAATTTACCTGTAACAAGGAGCTGTGTGCCAGGACCAAATATTTTGCTTCTCCCGACTTTCCTTTGCCCACTATCTGTAAAGCCTTTGTAGAAACATCTCTTTGTATCTGTTTTAAAATTGTGCCCATATTCTTTCAATATTTATACAAATATATAGAAATTGATCCTGCTAACATTACACAAAGATGAAGCTCAAGCAAAATCACATTAAATATGGATGTAGTCAAGAACTGTAGAACTGGCCCTCTCTGCCTGGGCACCGTGGGTTATGTCTTGTCCCATCTCACGTTGGAGAGTATGATTTGATCTGTTCTCACCATTTTGCCTAAATCTTCTACTCTCCTCCCTTAAAGAGTTTTTACATATAAAGTAAGTTTTTTTCCTAGAGTATAATTAAAAGTTAATATTTCTTTCATTTTCAAAGAGAAATACTAGGAATAATATATTTAAGTATTTAATATATGTATTTCAATATGTTTTACAGGTATTTGTTATTGATATGTATTAAGGGGTGAGCATCTGTATTCATTCTAAAGTAACTTTTTTCTAGAATCCAATTCCTATTGATAGACCAGATGAACTGTTACAGAGTGTAATTCTTAATGATGGTCTCTTAAGCTATTTATTGCTGAAAGACTGCTCCTTTGGACTTATTACATTTATAGTTTCCAGGACATTGGCTATACATACTATGTTGCTTATCAGAGGAACATATTCAGTTTAAGGCAGCTATGAGTTATACAATTTAGTTAGTAATGCAGTTTAGTTCCTTTACCAGCTACAATATTTTTAGCAAATTTGATGCCAATAGATAAATAAAATTGAGTGGAATGGTGTCAAAATGACTTGTCATTTTATAGAAATATCCTAAGAATCATATTTTAAGTATTTAATGAATACATATTCAACCTGACTTACTTGATCCTTTTGGAGGGAGAGAAGGGTGCCATGATTAGAAGCAGAAGCATTGTTTTCATACAAGGCTAGTAATACAAATTATGAGCTATTACTAATAAGTACTGAATTAGAGTCCATTTAAAAGGTCAGACTACAGAAGAGTAAATATTCAGAAGACAAAAACATGACTTAATGTTTTTAATATCACATAATGGTCCAGACCATGCACTTTGGAATACACAGTCTCTATTGAACACTAAATTTTGCCATAGTAGCTAGTTAAGTGACTTGAGGCAAATTACTCTAACCACATCACTCTAAACCTCAGTTTCCTTATCTATGAAATGGAAATAAGAGAATCTCCTGTACAGCACTATTGAGGAATCAGATAAAGCACTGAAACTATGTAGCATGGTGTCTGGCCCTCAGTAACTATTAGCTAATATTATTGTCTTTAATGGGATTGTCTGGGTCCAGTTTATCAAATTCCTCCACCAAACAAAATATATGTTCTTTATAAGCAATAACTCATATAAATTAAGAAAGGAAACAACTCATGAATCCAAAATCATCTTCCTCTATAGCAGCCACAGGCCAAAGAACATGGGGCCCAAGCAGGCCAGAATCTAAAATACTTATCTACCAGACAAAATGCTTTTTGAGTGTTGGAACTATGTTTTTCATTCTTTTATCTCCAGCATTCAGCACAGAAACTTTCTTCTATAAAGGTTCTCTGAGACAATAAACCAACAAATGAGGACGTAAAACTATGCAGACCTTTTTCATAGACTTTGGAGCTGAAATGGCTTATTGAACTTATAATTCCATTAAACTGGTCCATCTCTAGTCGGTATAACAAGACCTGTGGTTGCACAAACTGTGATGTTCTCTACTCATTCGCTGTAAGAATTAAGTTTTTGCACTGCCATTAGGGATGAGGTGAAAACCAATAATATAGGTTTATCATATTATTGAGAGAACAGTACAATGTGTTTTGTCTCAGCATATATGGAAGAGATTATTAATAAAAGTGTCTCTCAATAAAAAGATCTTCAACAAGAAAAGTGTCATAAACCTATAATTTATATCAATGGTACTCAAAATATTTTAATTTCTAACTTGAGTCTACCCTTTATTCTCAGAATACCCTGTATTCTAAGAATAGCATTTCAATCTGCTTACAAGCAGGGAAGTAAATAAACCATTTACAAAGTAGTTTTGTTTCCATATATAGTGACTTGTAGCTGTAAAATTGCTGTTTATATGCTGAGGCTGAGAATGTGGCAGTCAGATTGAGGTGATCCTAATTTGTTTTATTTAATTAACATTTACCAGGTTTTCAAAAATAAAATAAAAGTTACTTACCAGGGGAAATTACTATGAGTTTAGTCCCTTCTGCAAATATCTTGATCCAGCCTGAGCTAACACACTGGTTACAGCCCCTACAAAAATCTCACCGTACTCCTAAACTTTGTGATGTGACCAGCATAGAAAAAAATGGCAATTTGATCTTCTGGGTTCCTTTGGAAGTCCTTAAATATAGGTTTTGAGGCATCTGATATTTTGTGTTTTCCTCAGAGAAATAAACCCAGATGTCTGTTTTCCATCAAGGCAGTAGTCATTGAAAAAGACTGAGAGAAAATAAAAGCAGGAAAAGAAGAGATCAAGCTCAAATGATCAACCAACTAGTTTTCTAAATTACCAGGAAACGTATTCTGAGATTTAAGACGTTTTATTTCCAGGTGTTCAATTGTGTGAAATTTCTCAGAGATTGTATCAAAGGAAAGGCCCTTCCTTCTGTACCCACGAATACCAGGGCTGCCCCTTTAGCAGCTGGAAATGTATTTCTGAAAGCAGGAAACCCTTCAGTAACTGAAAATGCAAATCTGCCAACACAAATATACTTGAGAAATGTGAACAAAATTCTCCATTTTTAATAAAACCACTTTTATTATTTGACAATGTGTTTCTTTGCTATGCAATGCAAATAAGAAATTAGTTTCTGTGATGACATTACTTTTCCTGGAATAAAAGAAGAAATTTATAGAATTCTATCTCTTATGAAATATATTTCTTATTTACACTAAAATTTAAAAACAAAATCTAGTTCTGTGATATGTTGAAAGAAGAATCCTCTTAGAAGTTGTTTTGTAATCTTAGGCCATTTATCTTGGATCAGGGGAAAGAAATTTTCAGAAGCAGCTGACTGCTTCTCTGAGTACACATGAGCTGTCCATCTGCCAGGACCCAAGAACATGCCCTGATGACTCCCACGTGCACCTCAGATCTAAGTCTGGGCCTAAGTCCCACGAGCAAACAATGCCTCTGCCCCTAGAAATGAAGCTGTGAGGTGGTCATGGTGAGAACTGTCCATTCACAGCAGATCACAGCACCCAAGAAAATGGGAGAGGATCAACAATAAAAAAAGAAAAAGAAAGTTATGTTTTAAAGGTGGTGTTTTTTAACTGAGCATTTCATGCTATTAAAACTTAGAGCTGTCAAATATCTTTTGCACTTATTGTAGATGTAAATAGTACCCACTCAATTCCTTTCTGATAGCTTGACCTCTTTTTCTCCTTATTCCAACACCATGAGCATAATTATTTGGATCTTTAGGAGTTGCCTAGATTATATGGTCCATGAAGAATTTAAGTGATAAGATGCAAAAGAATAAGTAAAGAGTTACTTTTTATTAAATTTACATGAAAACCATATGAAGAAAACAGCATAAGATTTTACTCAAGGGCATGAAATAAAACCTGAACAAATGATAGATATACCACATTCATGAAGGTAAGACTCAATGTCATAAATATGCTAATCCTTCTTAAATTCATGTATATAAATTGACTGAGATTTCAATCAGAATTATGACAACATTTTATTTTTTGTTCTATGGTGTGAGGTTGGGTATGAGCAAGATAAGTTGGTTTTAAATGTTAATATTGAGAATAAATATGAGATAACCAAAATCATTTTTGAAAAATATTAGTGAATCAGCATTTAGCATAATAGATCTTAAACACTTATTACAAAGCTATTGATGTAATAATAGTGTAAGAATAATGAAACAAAATAAAACAGAAATCCTTCAATAAATGCTCTAAGTATATGTAGAAATGAAAATATGATATGGGGGAGCGGGAAAAATGGCGGCGGAGTGAACGGAGCTACACAGACCGTCTCCCAGAACCAAACTGGAATTACAACTATAACACAGACAAATCGACGGAAAAAACCAACAGAAAAGCAGCTTGGAGGACCATACAACGCAGGACACTGACTCCATCCCGGTAGGATTGCGAAGGCGCGAGACGGGGCTGGGAGCGCAGGGTCGGCAGCTCGGCAGCGGCCTCAGCTGTAAGCAGCGCCCGCGGGTTACACTCCCAGGCGGCTCCACAGCGCAGCCGGGACAGAGGCTGAACAGCCACAGCCACTCACCTTGGGCTCCGGCGGAGGGAGGGCAGACTGGACTGGAACTGTGTCTGGACACTCGGGGTTTGGAGGGCGCTCAGAGCTTTGGCTGAGTGCAGCCACTCAGGACGGTGGCCACATTGCTCCTTCCCAGGGCTCTGAGAGAGGCAGCAGCCCCTCCCTGGGAGATCCAACCCCACCCTGTGGGCCATTGTAGTGCTAATTGAGGCTCATTAACAACCAGCATCTGCCCCACCCTCCTGAAAGCCCCTTGGCTGAGCACCAGAGGGAGTTTTTCAATCAACTGACAACCCAAAACTCATCAATTAACCTAGACTGCTAGCCTCCAGGCAAAAAGCTAGAGGATAACAGTACCTTTCCTGGGCTGGCAACTTTAACCAGGAAAGTAAGACTTGACAGTGGTGTTCAACGCGGGTCCTCCCTCGCTCATCTAAACACAGGAGAGGGAGCCACAAACAGCAGAACACCAACACCCACAGGGAGAACTTGACAGGCTCCAAAGCCCACAATGATAGCTAAAATGGTGAAACACAGAAACAGAAGCCAAATGAAAGAGCAAGACACCTCCACCGAAGATGAGATCAATGTGGAGCAATTAGGCATGTTAACAGAGCTAGAATTCAGAGCCATGATCTTGAGGATGCTGAACAGCATGAGTAAAGACATAGAGACACTGAAAATAAGCCAAATGGAAATTAAAAACCAACAAGAAGAGATAAAAAATGACATATCCGAAATGAAAAACACATTGGAAGGTTTAAAAAGCAGAGTAGGGGAAGCTGAGGACCGGATCAGTGAATTAGAAGACAGGGTAGAAAAAATCAACCAATCAGAAAAACAAAAGGAAAAAACTATTAAAAAACAGGAAGACAGCTTAAGAGAACTATGGGACAACTGGAAACGTAATAATATTCGTATCATAGGAGTCCCCGAAGAAGAAGAAAAGGAGCAAGGGATAGAGAATATATTCAAAAAAATAGTGAGAGAAAACTTCCCTAATTTGGTGAAGGAAGAAGGCATTCAAGTTCAAGAAGCACAGAGAGTCCCAAGTAAGAAGAACCCAAACAGGCCCACACCAAGACACATAGTAATTAAAATGCCACAAATTAAAGACAAAGAGAGAATCCTAAAAGCAGCAAGAGATAAGCAACAGGTTACCTACAAAGGGAACCCCATAAGGCTTTCAGCTGACTTCTCACAAGAAACACTACAGGCCAGAAGAGAATGGCATGAAGTAATCAAAGTCATGAAAAACAAGAATCTGAATCCAAGACTACTCTAAACCAGCAAGGCTATCATTCAAAATAGAAGATCAAATAAAGAGCTTCCCAGACAAAAAAAAGCTAAGGGAATACATTAGCACCAAACCAGCACTGCAAGAAATGTTAAAAGGACTGCTGTAATTAGCAGTAGAAATGGGAAGAAAAATGGAACCACAGTAAACAAAAATGGCAATAAATAAGTACATATCAATAATCACCTTAAACGTAAATGGATTGAATGCTCCCATAAAGAGACACAGAGTAGCTGATTGGATAAGAAAGCATGACTCATCTATATGTTGTTTACAAGAGACCCACCTCTCAACAAAAGACTCACATAGGTTGAAAGTGAAGGGATGGAAAAAAATTTTCCAAGCAAATGGAAAGCAAAAAAAAGCGGGGGTAGCAATTCTCATATCTGATAAAATAGATTTCAAAATGAAGACCATAACTAGAGACAAAGACGGCCACTACATAATATTGAAAGGATCTATCCAACAGGAAGATATAACCTTGATAAACATATATGCACCCAATATAGGAGCACCAAAATATATTAAAAATCTTCTGGAGGACTTCCAAGGAGAAATCGACAACAATACAATTATAGCAGGGGACTTCAACACCCCATTGACAGCACTGGATAGATCCTCTAGGCAAAAAATTAGCAAGGAAACAGAGACTCTAAATGAAGCACTAGACCAAATGGATTTAATAGATATCTACAGAGAATTACACCCCAAAACTACAGAATACACATTCTTCTCAAGTGCACATGGGACATTTTCAAAGATAGACCACATGATAGGACACAAACTAAATCTCTACAAGTTCAAGAAGATTGAAATCATATCAAGCATCTTCTCAGATCACAATGGCATGAAACTAGAAATCAATTGCACAAAGAACATGCAAAGACATTTCAACACATGGAGGCTAAATAGCATGTTATTAAACAATGAATGGGTCACCGAGGAGATCAAGGAAGAAATTAAAAACTTCCTGGAAACCAATGAAAATGAACACACAACAACACAAAATCTATGGGATGCAGCGAAAGCAGTTCTGAGAGGGAAGTTCATAGCACTACAGGCCTACCTCAAAAAACAAGAAAAATTTCTAATTGACTGTCTAACCTCACAACTTAAAGAATTAGAAAGCAAACAAAAAGAAAACCCCAGAGCAAGTAGAAGAAAGGAAATAGTAAAGATCAGAGCAGAAATAAATGACATAGAGACCAAAAAAACAATTCAAAGGATCAATGAAACAAAGAGCTGGTTTTTCGAAAAGATAAACAAGATAGATGGACCCTTAGCTAGACTCACCAAGAAACAAAGAGAGAGAACCCAAATACACAAAATCAGAAATGAAAGAGGAGAAGTAACAACCAACACCACGGAAATACAAAAGATCGTTAACAACTACTATGAACAACTATATGGCAACAAATTCGACAATCTCAGCGAAATGGACAAATTTCTAGAAACACACAGTCTCCCAAAACTATTCCCGGAAGAGATAGAAAACTTGAACAGACCAATAACAACTAAGGAAATTGAAGAGGTAATCAAGACTCTCCCAGCAAACAAAAGCCCAGGCCCAGATGGTTTCACGGGGGAGTTTTACCGAACATTCAAAAAAGAGCTAACACCCATTCTCCTCAAACTATCTCAAAAAATTCAAGAAGAAGGAAGACTTCCAAACACGTTCTATGAGGCCAGCAT